AGTTTTTATATTCCATTGGTCAGAATCAATTTTTGATTATTCCCGGCTTTTGATTAAATTCCAAGAGCCGGGAATAATAACTCAATGAAATACTTTTTCTCCTTAAAACGCCATTTAACCGTATATTATGTAACAACCTTTTGAAAATGTTGCTATGATAAATCCGCCATTTTCATATTAGTATTCACTAGGCAAATGTCAATGCAGAGTGTCAAAATGGCGTTTTACTTGATTCGATTGGTTGATAAGTTTCAAGTTTTTATATTCCATTGGTCAGAATCAATTTTTGATTATTCCCGGCTTTTGATTAAATTCCAAGAGCCGGGAATAATAACTCAGTGAAATACTTTTTCTCCTTAAAACGCCATTTAACCGTATATGTAACAACCTTTTGAAAATGTTGCTATGATAAATCCGCCATTTTGCTATTAGTATTCACTAGGCAAATGTCAATGGAGAGTGTCAAAATGGCGTTTTACTTGATTTGATTGGTTGATAAGTTCCAAGTTTTTATATTCCATTGGTCAGAATCAATTTTTGATTATTCCCGGCTTTTGATTCAGTTCCATGTGCCGGGAATAATATAACTCAATGAAATACTTTTTCTCCTTAAAACGCCATTTAACCGTATATGTAACAACCTTTTGAAAATGTTGCTATGATAAATCCGCCATTTTGCTATTAGTATTCACTAGGCAAATGTCAATGCAGAGTGTCAAAATGGCGTTTTACTTGATTCGATTGGTTGATAAGTTTCAAGTTTTTATATTCCATTGGTCAGAATCAATTTTTGATTATTCCCGGCTTTTGATTAAATTCCAAGAGCCGGGAATAATAACTCAGTGAAATACTTTTTCTCCTTAAAACGCCATTTAACCGTATATGTAACAACCTTTTGAAAATGTTGCTATGATAAATCCGCCATTTTGCTATTAGTATTCACTAGGCAAATGTCAATGGAGAGTGTCAAAATGGCGTTTTACTTGATTTGATTGGTTGATAAGTTCCAAGTTTTTATATTCCATTGGTCAGAATCAATTTTTGATTATTCCCGGCTTTTGATTAAATTCCAAGAGCCGGGAATAATAACTCAATGAAATACTTTTTCTCCTTAAAACGCCATTTAACCGTATATTATGTAACAACCTTTTGAAAATGTTGCTATGATAAATCCGCCATTTTGCTATTAGTATTCACTAGGCAAATGTCAATGCAGAGTGTCAAAATGGCGTTTTACTTGATTCGATTGGTTGATAAGTTTCAAGTTTTTATATTCCATTGGTCAGAATCAATTTTTGATTATTCTCGGCTTTTGATTAAATTCCAAGAGCCGGGAATAATAACTCAGTGAAATACTTTTCTCCTTAAAACGCCATTTAACCGTATATGTAACAACCTTTTGAAAATGTTGCTATGATAAATCCGCCATTTTGCTATTAGTATTCACTAGGCAAATGTCAATGGAGAGTGTCAAAATGGCGTTTTACTTGATTTGATTGGTTGATAAGTTCCAAGTTTTTATATTCCATTGGTCAGAATCAATTTTTGATTATTCCCGGCTTTTGATTAAATTCCAAGAGCCGGGAATAATAACTCAATGAAATACTTTTTCTCCTTAAAACGCCATTTAACCGTATATTATGTAACAACCTTTTGAAAATGTTGCTATGATAAATCCGCCATTTTCATATTAGTATTCACTAGGCAAATGTCAATGCAGAGTGTCAAAATGGCGTTTTACTTGATTCGATTGGTTGATAAGTTTCAAGTTTTTATATTCCATTGGTCAGAATCAATTTTTGATTATTCCCGGCTTTTGATTAAATTCCAAGAGCCGGGAATAATAACTCAGTGAAATACTTTTTCTCCTTAAAACGCCATTTAACCGTATATGTAACAACCTTTTGAAAATGTTGCTATGATAAATCCGCCATTTTGCTATTAGTATTCACTAGGCAAATGTCAATGGAGAGTGTCAAAATGGCGTTTTACTTGATTTGATTGGTTGATAAGTTCCAAGTTTTTATATTCCATTGGTCAGAATCAATTTTTGATTATTCCCGGCTTTTGATTCAGTTCCATGTGCCGGGAATAATATAACTCAATGAAATACTTTTTCTCCTTAAAACGCCATTTAACCGTATATGTAACAACCTTTTGAAAATGTTGCTATGATAAATCCGCCATTTTGCTATTAGTATTCACTAGGCAAATGTCAATGCAGAGTGTCAAAATGGCGTTTTACTTGATTCGATTGGTTGATAAGTTTCAAGTTTTTATATTCCATTGGTCAGAATCAATTTTTGATTATTCCCGGCTTTTGATTAAATTCCAAGAGCCGGGAATAATAACTCAGTGAAATACTTTTTCTCCTTAAAACGCCATTTAACCGTATATGTAACAACCTTTTGAAAATGTTGCTATGATAAATCCGCCATTTTGCTATTAGTATTCACTAGGCAAATGTCAATGGAGAGTGTCAAAATGGCGTTTTACTTGATTTGATTGGTTGATAAGTTCCAAGTTTTTATATTCCATTGGTCAGAATCAATTTTTGATTATTCCCGGCTTTTGATTAAATTCCAAGAGCCGGGAATAATAACTCAATGAAATACTTTTTCTCCTTAAAACGCCATTTAACCGTATATTATGTAACAACCTTTTGAAAATGTTGCTATGATAAATCCGCCATTTTCATATTAGTATTCACTAGGCAAATGTCAATGCAGAGTGTCAAAATGGCGTTTTACTTGATTCGATTGGTTGATAAGTTTCAAGTTTTTATATTCCATTGGTCAGAATCAATTTTTGATTATTCCCGGCTTTTGATTAAATTCCAAGAGCCGGGAATAATAACTCAGTGAAATACTTTTTCTCCTTAAAACGCCATTTAACCGTATATGTAACAACCTTTTGAAAATGTTGCTATGATAAATCCGCCATTTTGCTATTAGTATTCACTAGGCAAATGTCAATGGAGAGTGTCAAAATGGCGTTTTACTTGATTTGATTGGTTGATAAGTTCCAAGTTTTTATATTCCATTGGTCAGAATCAATTTTTGATTATTCCCGGCTTTTGATTCAGTTCCATGTGCCGGGAATAATATAACTCAATGAAATACTTTTTCTCCTTAAAACGCCATTTAACCGTATATGTAACAACCTTTTGAAAATGTTGCTATGATAAATCCGCCATTTTGCTATTAGTATTCACTAGGCAAATGTCAATGCAGAGTGTCAAAATGGCGTTTTACTTGATTCGATTGGTTGATAAGTTTCAAGTTTTTATATTCCATTGGTCAGAATCAATTTTTGATTATTCCCGGCTTTTGATTAAATTCCAAGAGCCGGGAATAATAACTCAGTGAAATACTTTTTCTCCTTAAAACGCCATTTAACCGTATATGTAACAACCTTTTGAAAATGTTGCTATGATAAATCCGCCATTTTGCTATTAGTATTCACTAGGCAAATGTCAATGGATAGTGTCAAAATGGCGTTTTACTTGATTTGATTGGTTGATAAGTTCCAAGTTTTTATATTCCATTGGTCAGAATCAATTTTTGATTATTCCCGGCTTTTGATTAAATTCCAAGAGCCGGGAATAATAACTCAATGAAATACTTTTTCTCCTTAAAACGCCATTTAACCGTATATTATGTAACAACCTTTTGAAAATGTTGCTATGATAAATCCGCCATTTTCATATTAGTATTCACTAGGCAAATGTCAATGCAGAGTGTCAAAATGGCGTTTTACTTGATTCGATTGGTTGATAAGTTTCAAGTTTTTATATTCCATTGGTCAGAATCAATTTTTGATTATTCCCGGCTTTTGATTAAATTCCAAGAGCCGGGAATAATAACTCAGTGAAATACTTTTTCTCCTTAAAACGCCATTTAACCGTATATGTAACAACCTTTTGAAAATGTTGCTATGATAAATCCGCCATTTTGCTAATAGTATTCACTAGGCAAATGTCAATGGAGAGTGTCAAAATGGCGTTTTACTTGATTTGATTGGTTGATAAGTTCCAAATTTTCATATTCCATTGGTGATTTTTGATTATTCCCGGCTTTTGATTCAGTTCCAAGTGCCGGAAATAATAACTCAATGAAATATTTTTTCTTCATAAAACGCCATCTAACGGCATAATATGTAACAACTTTTTGAGAATATTGCTATGATAAATCCGACATTTTGATATTAGTATTCACACACACTTGGATTACTTTGGCGCCCTAGGGATCTGGGCCCATAACCTGTTATAATTACTATTTAAACTGCAGTGGGTACTTCTTCGAATTAACTTTTATTTCACAGAGAACGAAGACAGGATTCAACAATCTACATACTTCAATGACATACATTTTGTCATCTATCAAACTGTAATTGAAACACCAGACAGGTATAAGCAGATTTTAGCGTATATTCCAACACAATGAACCACATGCACGTCTACGTGCTGCCTGTAAAGGCTCCCCTTTCAAATCGATCAACTAAGCAATAGATGAAGATTCTATGCAAAATTAGGAAGGTATTTTGTCAGTCAAACCATCTCAGATGCAAAATAACTGCGAAAAATGAAATTATGCAAATTTGAGAATGTGTTAGTATAAGAAAATATGAAAAAGTAGGTAGGTTTGAGGAATCACAAAGAAAATCAAATGATGTCTGCAGAAAACTGTACAAGAAATCTTTTTTAAATAATATAAGAAGTTTTCAAGCGAAAGTATGTGGAAGTTCAAATTATGCTGAAACTGAAGAGTATTGAAAAGGTCTGGAAACATGGAAAGAAAACTATAAGTATGAGAAGGTTTTTAGTTGTGTTCTTCACCCAAGGAAGTGTAGAGGAACAAAGGATATTCCCTGGGCCACATACACATCTACATGCTACCTCCCCTTTCCGAGGTAGTATGGGTAATTGAGTTCTTCAAGAAAAACACACACAAATGATTAAGTATTTAAAAAATTTAATTTGCTACTACTACCATTCTACTAGATTCACGTTACCCATAATTATTTACAAAAGACCTTAAAAAAATATAGTTCAAACTCTATATTTCGCTGGCAAAACTGGAGCTGGTAAATTATCTTGATTCTCCCTGTACTGACCGTCATCGAAAATGCCTCTGGCCTCGTCGGCTAAATTTTGTTCGACCGCCCTTTTGATCACATCAGGCATAGGAGGTGCAACCGGCATGTGAGCACCTTGAGGATGGAACCCGGTATCGTCCGCCACGTAAGACATCGAAATTTGCTGACCGTCCGGAGCCACGTAGGCGTAAGACCCGTGAGTTTTGGAACCATCGCCTCAAAAAAATCAAACAATCAAAAATATTATGAAGGCACCAATTATTACTTACCAGCTTCCTGTTGTGCAATCTTATTGCCGGTTTCGTAAGCGAATTGGTAAGCTCCTTCGCCGTCGTTGTTAACCTCCATGCGTAAAATTGGAATTTGACTTGCCGGGTTTTGTTGTTGGTAGTAGTCGGAATTGGCGAAGCCCCGTTTTTGTCTCTGTTGTGCCCGGGATAGAGCCAAGCAGACAGAAATTAAAAGAATCTGAAATAAAGTTTTTTTGTATTAGTTGAAAGAGCAAATAAATCGTGATTCGATTACTTACAAATTTCAGTTGCATGCTGAAGACTTGTGAGGAAACTGAATGTCGACTAACGCCTATTATTAGCTTTATATCCGAGGTCCCTCCCTTGGAATTTTAAATTGGATATAGAAAAGTCGAATTTCAATAATTGCATTCTTTATTTACAGAGTGATCAAGGCATGGAATTTTTTTTTTTGTGGGGTCTTATGTTAAATATGATATTTCAAGTGAGAGAGAGGAACATCTACATATTTTGAAGTCTAAATTTCTTTAAAATATGTAAATATCGAACCAAAATCTCAGAAAGGTGAAGATGTACCTAAACTTGAATTTTGTTTCGACTATTGTTATTGTGTTTCTTAGTTTTGTTTTTCGCTTTTTTTGTTTATTAGTTTTTTGTTCCTTAGATTTAGTTTCAGAATAATCAGAATCCACTTTTTCTTTTCTGGTTTTATCTTGTACATCTTCGTTTTCCACTTTAGATTTTGATTCTACTTCCACTTATGTTTTTGCATTGGCTTTTCTTCCTTGAGTCTGGCTTCTTAGTTTCAGCTTCTGGTTTCTCTTTTTCGTTTTTTTCTTTAACTCATCTTCCATGTTTTCCTTTCTTGATTTTTTGTCAAACTCTTCTTCTCAGATTCTGACTCACAAAACAGAAAGAAAAAGAAGAATTCGAAGTAAAAACAAATAAGAGAAAAACCTAGACTGAAGCTCAATCCAAGAAAAAAAAAAGAGGAAACCGAGAAGAAAGAAAATAATAAGGTTGATAGGTTTATTTAGACTTAGCCCAGAATCAGGTCCGAATTGAACTGAGCTTGCGCATTCGTTCATAATGAACATATACAGGGTGTCCCCGTTCAACTGGTCAAAAACGCTAGGGTATATAGAGGAACAATAGAGAAGTAGTTTGAGATAAGACACCGATGGCCGGAAGTGCGTCATTTCCAAAATACAGGGTGTTGAAATTTAAACAACCCCTTTTCATATCATCTGAAGGGCTAATGCTAGGCTGTTCAGATTTTCAGGGATTATTGATGTAGGAATGATATTTAAAAATTCGTATAATGCACCCCCATTTGCTACCTGGAACCAACCCAAAATATATAAAAAGTAAAATTTGAAGAAAAAAAAGCAATTTGTTTCAATTTTTTTTTTCTTAGGTGGTTCTAGGCGCTTGATTCTCGAAACAAGTGAGCAGCGTTCTCATGAGAACAGATTATCTGTCTTCGTCACTCAAACGAGATTTTATATGGAACTGAGAAGGACAGGGCACTTATTCTCATAGGAACCCTGCTCCTTCGGTTCCAGAATCAGGAGCCTGGTAGGTAGAAAATGGCGGTGCATTATACAAATTCTTGAATATCATTCCTAAGTCAATAATTCCTGAAAATTTGAACAGATGATAAGAAAGGGTTTTTTTTAAATGTCCAATTTTGGAAACGGCGCACTTCCTACCATCGGTGTCTTATCTCAATCTGCTTCTCTATGGTTCTTCTACATACCCTAGAATTTTTGACTAGTTTAACGGGCAGCAGAATTCCCCAAAAAAATCTTTTGCGTACTGTAACAATTACCAGCCGAATTGTATTGTAACATCCTGTATATTACCTATGATCTTCACAGGGCGTTCTACCTCTCTCTTCACTTAAAACGAATCCGATGCCATTTCTATTCGGGTTCGTGCCTTCATTTTGTCGCTCTTAATGCAATATTGTGCTCAAGAATTTTCCAAAAAGGTCACGGTTCGCTGGGCGGAGTCGCTATACACACGCATCCAGGGATGGGCAGATTTTCTATAATCCAACAATAATTGTCTATAAAGGTTTTTGTGGTTTAAAAATTTGAGTTCTTGAAAAATTTGTCAAGAATTTTTGAGATAATCTATTTTGATCTTGATCATCATAATGTTTTTGTTTTCTTCAATTCAAGTTTGGGATTTCTAGATACGAAATCATTCGAAGACACTCCAGAATATTCTATCCATTTCCATTTGATTACATTTCTAGGTAGGTTAATTGATTGATCTGAAAGGGGAGCCTTTACAGGTAGCACATAGATGATGCGCATGTGGCCCATATTGTGCTAACTCTCTCTTGGTGCAGCTCTGTCCTAAAAGTTAAGAACGGTGCAGACCCCCTCAGATTTCTTAATTTTGAAACAGGAGAGCAGCCTCCACAAAGAGATTTCAAAATTTGTTTTAAGCCAAGATATTTTTCTTTCGTTAGCCTCTTGATGTATTAATCTATGGACACACGCTTATGAAACTATACTAAAAACCTATAATTATATCAAATACTAGTTATAATAGACAGGCACGATGTTTTTAATTATCGGTTTTTATCCTAAACACAGTAGACAAATGAGCTTGAATTTAATGGTGAGAAAATAAACGTTTTTGAATGAACAAATTAAGCCTGTTATGGATTAGGATGAAGCATTTTGCATTAACATCTCTGTTTGCCAATATTCCTACACGAAATGTTAAAAAGATGTAAATAAATTCCAACTATCGAAAAAAAAAAACAACAAAGAAGTGGCTCTTGTAATCTTGCATGCGCACCATAAATCCGCGACAGTTTATGGTTGGGTAACTGTTTTTTTTTTCTTTGCATATCGCCATTACGACCACCTTGAATACAATTTGCACTACGAGACTCGGTGATCCGTAAAATGTTGTGCACATCACTAAAAATTTTATGGTAAATAATTCAACCGTGCAAATATCAGATGAAGAAGGTCCGAAAGATGACACAGATCTTGTGAAATAGAACATTTTTGTTGTTTTAATAGACTAATATAATCTCGAACATTGAAAGGATGAAGTTGATAATCTAAATACAAGTCTGAATTCTAGGACTGCACTGCATAGGGCATATGAGTTAGAAAAGTATTTTGAATGAAATCTGTTACAATGGTATGTTGTAATGCAATATTGTAATGTCTTTTTTTTTTGGCGGCTTCTTAAAAGTGATAGTAAAAGTGGCCGACCTTAAATCATCGTTATTCATTTCAAAGCCGCCATTTGGTATTTATAATTACGGGACGGATATTGAATGCTCATTGTTCTAATGACAAAAATGCACCCCGGAGCCGATTAATGATGTTGCGCCCCGCTTTTGTTCCAGTTTGATGGTGCAACAAAAAGGTCATTTCCAGTCGGCGTTTTGTCGTTTTAATTTGATTTTTCAATAAGAAATCTCATAATTTACGAATATGATTTTAGCACGTATAAGGGCAAATGTTATTAACTTTAAATGCCAAACTTGATTTGATGATGAATCAGGTCAGTAGCTAAGAGGGGCCAGAGTGGGCACACTTTTCAAATAAGTATCGAGCAGCAAAATGAAAGCACCTCAACTTTGACAGATTAGTAGGCCATTTGTAGCGCTTTCTTTGAACCATCAGTAACAAAAACAGCTTATGAATTTTTGAATTTTTCAGCTTGAGAGCCTGGAATAGATAAAACTCGAGACGAAATTAATAGTTTTCTTATTCCCGGCTCTTGAATTGAAAAACAGGAAGGAGCTCAAGAGCCTGGAATAGACAAATAATTGAGACATCGAAAGCTCTACATCGAAAAGAAAACACTTTAACTTTGACATTTTAAGCAGTCAGTCAATTATAGCGGTCCGTTAGGTTGCACCCTCTCTTATGTGGTGATGTCCAAGTGCAACAAAAATAGAGTCATTTAGAGTAAATTCACTCCACACTTTTCAAATAAGTTTGGGGCAGCAATATAAATAAAGCACCTCAACTTTGACAGCTCTAATAATTCTAGTCGGCCATTTTTAACGTTTTCTTTGAACCATCAGGGACAGCCTATAAATTCTTGAATTTTTCAGCCTGACAGCCTGGAATAGACAAAAGTCGAGACAAAATTACTTAATAGTTTTCTTATTCTTGGCTCTTGAATTGAAAAACTAATGAAAACAGGGAGGAGCTTAAGAGCCTGGAATAGACAAATAATTGAGACAAAAATGATTGAGCTCCACATCGAAAAGAAAACACAACTTTGAAATTTTAAGTAGTCAGTCAATTATAGCGGTTTCGTTAGGTTGCACCCTCTCTTATGTGGTGATATCCAAGTGCAACAAAAATAGAGTCATTTAGAGTAAATTCACTCCACACTTTTCAAATAAGTCTGGGGCAGCAACATAAAAGAACCTCAACTTTGACAGTTTAAAAAAATCTAGTAGGCCATTTGTAGCGCTTTCTTTGAACCATCAGTAACAGAAAGAGCTTATGAATTCTTGAATTTTTCAACTTGAAAGCCTGGAATAGACTAAACTCGAGACAAAATTAATAGTTTTCTTATTCCCGGCTCTTGAATTGAAAAACTAAAGAAAACAGAAAGGAGCTCAAGAGCCTGGAATAGACAAATAATTGAGACAAAAATGATTGAGATCTACATCGAAAAGAAAACACCTTAACTTTGACATTTTAAGTACTCAGTCTATTATGGCGGTTTCGTTAAGTTGCACCCTCTCCTATGTGGTGATGTCCAAGTGCAACAAAAATAGAGTCAATTAGAGTAACTTCACTCCACACTTTTCAAATAAGTCTGGGGCAGCAACATGAAAGAACCTCAACTTTGACAGTTTAAAAAAAATCTAGTAGGCCATTTGTAGCGCTTTCTTTGAACCATCAGTAACAGAAACAGCTTATGAATTCTTAAATTTTTCAGCTTGAGAGCCTGGAATAGACAAAACTCGAGACAAAATTAGTTTTCTTATTCCCGGCTCTTGAATTGAAAAACTAAAGAAAACAGGAAGGAGCTCAAGAGCCTGGAATAGACAAATAATTGAGACAAAAATGATTGAGCTCTACATCGAAAAGAAAACACCTTAACTTTGACATTTTAAGTACTCAGTCTATTATGGAGGTTTCGTTAAGTTGCACCCTCTCCTATGTGGTGATGTCCAAGTGCAACAAAAATAGAGTCAATTAGAGTAACTTCACTCCACACTTTTCAAATAAGTCTCAGCAACATGAAAGAACCTCAACTTTGACAGTTTAAAAAAAATCTAGTAGGCCATTTGTAGCGCTTTCTTTGAACCATCAGTAACAGAAAGAGCTTATGAATTCTTAAATTTCTCAACTTGAGA